CTGCGATTCGCTGTGCAGAGTTGCATCCTTTGGGCATGCCAGAAGGCTATTATTGTGGGTTCAAATCCCGGTTCACCCTGATTATTTTTCTAGGTTTGTCAGCACCATACCTGTGCTCGTGGGTTTCACCAAAGTGGTAAACGTCTGAGACCTGCATCACTTCGGGCTTTCCTCCCACATTAAGCTTACAGGCTGTGATATAACTGTAATACTGTTAAAAGTGACGTTAAACCCCACTCACTCACTCACTCACTCACTCACTTAGATCAGATGTTTGTTCTCGCTACCGCTAAACAAACATCTGAGCACATCTCGCGACAGTTCACGTCAGAACAACCTTTTGCAAACTTTAACCAACCAACGAAATGACTGACAAGAAGTAGACATTAACCAATCAGAAAGCAGCTTTCTCGAGCATTCAAACTGGCGACTTCCACACCAGACTACGCTTTGAAAAATATTTCGACAAAGTTCTCGATTTTAAAATTTGAAAACTAAACAAAAACAAATTCTTGAATCTCTAATAGAGAGCTGATGTTGTGTGGCAGTTCTTCCCACAGAGTGTGGAAAATCTCGTCCATTTGAAATGTTTAGCCAATTGCAGCGAGAGATAAACAATGATTTTGACAGAATCAGTTGTACAGCCTGTAGCCCATGTTAACCCTTTCAAGGTTGCACAATAATAAAGTAATTCCGACTGTCACTTTCCTGAACTGGTAACCGTTGCTTTCATTGGTGTGATGAAAGGCCATTCTGAGGTGACCCATAATGGGATGTCCTAAGATCTTTGTTTAGCAGTAGCCAGAAGTAAGATGTGAATTTAATGAGACTGGCATCCATTCAGGAAATGGTCATAATTTTATGTCTGATTATCAGAGTTACCTCCCTTAGCTCTCACACCCTCCGATGTAATTTGCTTGCATCTATTACTTGGTTGAGCGCTGTTATCCTTTCAAGTAATGCAAAGCTACCTACTATGTATGACAGAGCAGTATATATCAAGCTATTGGGACAGTTGTTCCAATATTGAAATAGCATGGTGCCTGATAATATTGTCCTAACAATCACAGCTCTAGGCTGTGTGTGTGCATTCATTTGACCATGTCTGTGTGTGAGTCTCTCTCTGTCTGTTTCTCTGTCTGGATGTGTCATCAAATGTCATCAATGTCAATGTCATCAAAATAAGATCTTAGTTCTTGCTACTGCTAAACAAAGATCTGAGGACATCCCATTACATGTCACTTCAGACTGACATTTCGTGAATTTGACCAACCAGTGGAATGACTCAAAGTGAAGCCGACATTAGCCAATCAGAAGGCAGCTTTCTCGTGCTTTATGGCACTAGTTTCAAACTGGCAACTGCGCTTTGAAACGATTAATAATTTCAAAACTGATCAGTCTGAACAGTCTGGAATGGCTGAAAGATGGCCCTAGATTGAATGGATTCAGCTGTAAAGTCCGCAACTGTCATTTAGAATTCCCCATGTTAAATTTTCCGTCACGTTCCTGATCTGGTGAACGACACTCTGACTGGTTGGATGAAAGGTCGTCATGGGATGTCCTCAGATCTTTGTTTAGCAGTAGCGAGAAGTAAGATCTGATTTTGATGAGATTGTTTTTGATTGAGCTGATTTTTATGTGTTATCTAAACATGTATCAGGAAAGGGATTATCTCCATGTTTTGTGTTATCTAAACATGCGTCAGAAAAGGGATTATCTCCATGTTTTGTGTTATCTAAACATGCGTCAGAAAAGGGATTATCTCCATGTTTTGTGTGTATAAACTTGCTGAATAAACCTATGATTTGTCATATGATCATGTCGAATATTAAAAAACTGCTGTGTCCACATGAAATGATGAGAGTATGGACAATTTGTATAATATGGTTTAAGCCTTGAACAGTGTCTTCAACAGACTCTTAGATTTGTCCTCAAGTGGCATGTCATGTAATATGGGTTGTTAGACTAAAGAGTCATTGAGGAACCCATGGATGATCACGTTGATGATAATTTTGATGATCAAGTTGATGATCACGTTGATGCTCACATCCTTGTACCACACAAAGTTGAAACACTACACAATAGCCCAGCCAAGGGGCCCTTTCTCAAAGCAATCATATCACTGTGACTGTTGTAAGTCCAACAGTTTGATAAAGACTGACAACAGTCATAGCAGCACAGTTGGCTTGTGGAATGCAGCCCTGGTGTGCTGTTGGACAATGTCACGCTGAGCCAAACCCCCGTAGATTAGTCCCCAGGTTATTGTGCCCTTCTTTTCATATGACAAAAACAGACATCAACCTCGCAGAGGGCATCTTCCCGAGGCAAGTGAGTAAACTGACTATAAAAGTCCAGTTTCCACCCTTGCCGAACTAGGCTGGTATTATGGAGTTACATTTTGGCTGGACTAATGAGTCTATGCATAGTCCAATCAAATCGCGCACCGAAATCGAAATCCGGTTCATAAAGTGTCATGCAGATTTCGGTCGACTGCAGGATTTGCAAAGCATGTGCAGCGCTAACTTGTTGTCAACAGATTTTTTCTAAATCTTTTCATGCTTTTAATCAAGGTGCTCACGTGATTTGATGCACTTCGCGATGTAAGACACGCTTTATCACAATATAGATCTTGATTATCAATCAGATCGTCTTGACTGGGCGCCACCTTTTTGTTTGAAGCAAATACAAGTGATACGAGAGGTTGAATCTGATTGGTCCGTAGGAGAGGCATAGAACGGACATAACTCGTAATAGCCACTGGTGGCGCTACGATCGAGCCCAGGACTTCCAGCCTAGTTCGGCAAGGGTGGAAACTGGACTTTTAAAGTCAGTTAACTCTCTTGCTTCGGGAAGATGCGCAGAGGGTGCCGATCCCTACCCTCTAGGCATCCGGCATACCACTGAATGTGTCTTGGCATCTAATGTAAGAACTCTAAGAGTCATATCAGTGTCCACAGCTGGTACAAGTAGATTTTCACACATATTGCACTACAATATGCATGCTCATAAGCTTAGGGTGAAATATTTATTGATTTATCATTCTTTGCCAAAAAAAAAGGAAAAGGAATTTCAACATTGAAATATTGCATCCATGTAGCAGATAAACTTGACATCTGACATCTGGAATACCACTTAACAAGGCTCGGTATCTGCCATACCAACAGGATATTAGCTCCTTCAGCACCAGTGCAGTCACCAACTGTCTACAAGACTTAGTTTGAATCTGCAAATTAAAAAATATGTATGTGTATTCCAGGGGCGAGCTTACAGCCGGCTGGTACTACTAGTCAGAAGACAAGATTATTGTAATTATTGACAGCTAATGGTTGTTATGAGCAATAAGTAAACTTTGTAGTATTACCACGTGAAATATAGTGAAACATTCTCAACTCAGATCTTGCATAGATGTAGCAGTTCCTCAAATTCCGGGGAAAAATTGCAGAATAGCAGTTTTGTTCATGAAAACTGTCAAAGTCGCTCTTTATATGGTCAATATCTAAAACAGCTAATTTTGGTAAAATATCAATTTTTCTTATAAGACCACATTAAAGGTTTCACTGTATTTCTACATACAAATAATTTTTACAAGTATTGATTGTTATACTTAGCTTGTGTTTGCTGTGAAAGACAAAAACCATTGTATGTTTTTGTACAAGGCTGACTTTGCAGTGCTGAAGTATTATATTGATGCGAGTTATGAATGTATGTTTTGTAATTGTCACAATAAACTAAACTTGTGTTCATCACATGACATAGTATTATTTTGTTTCTCTAAGGTGTAGGCGTGTTGCAGCAATATAACAGCAGCCTGTCAATATCATGTCTAGACCAGACAGTCCAGTGATTGATGTTAAGGGGACTTATGCTTGCTGTTGAGGTACGATGACTACCATCTACCAAATAACCATGCCCGACGACCCGTAAAGGCCAGGGCTAGGAAAGGTCGTCAGCAACCCATGCTTGCCGTAAAGGTGACTATGCTTGTTGAAGTAGGCGACCAACGGGAGAGTGTGGTCCGGCTCGCCGACTTGGTTGATGCATGTCATCGTATCCCAATTGCGTAGATCGATGCTCATGATGTCAATCACTGGATTGTCTGGTCCAGACTCGATTATTTACAGACCGCTTTCATATAGCTGGAATATTGCTGAGTGCGGCGTTAAACAACAAACCAACAACAACAACCAGAGTCAGAGACCAGTGTTGCAGATGCGTTCACTTTCAAGACGTGACTGATGGTTTCCCTACAGACTACATACAGTCAAGTCTTGTAAATCTGACAATCGGCTTTATCCGACACTAATGATGGGAACCGATTAAATCAGTGCTATTTAGACCCATTAATCCGAAGTCTCGCACCCCGACTCCGACACACCTAATTTGCAACGAATTACCGAAATCACTCATTAATCAGACGCGTTAATCCAACACAGTGATCAGCATACTCCGTGGTCATCTGCCCGCAAGTACACAGCCAGTGTTTTGATTAAAACTTTGCTTAACAATAAACATTTAATGCTTTAAATATAGCAAACAGGATTAATCACATGCTTAGATTACATCAATCTCATTAAAATCAGATACACGTTCTCCCTATCGCCGAGGACATTCCATTACAGGTCACATCAGAAAAACCTTTCGCAAACTATGACCGACGAATGTTGGTACTACTTAATTTCGTTTATCCAACATTATCATATGCAACAAGCCATGTCGGATTAACGGGACTTGACTGTATCTAGGTGAGCTACAGTGCATTGGCTCTTTTTCTGTAAGATAAAATAAGAGATTATGAACATGCCATTTTTGTTTTGAGATCCAAATGATTCATTGAAGTGTCAGTGATTAGAGACCTGCCAAAATCAAGACACAGGAAATATTTTGTGAAAAAGCAAACATTAATGATCACACTACCATTTGTTCTTCACGTCAAGACAACATTTTCAGTGTGACATGATTCTATTCCATCCATTCGTTAACCATATAACATAAGACAAATATCAATGATGTGATGCTTTATTTCGTTAAGTAACAATACTTTTGTGTAAATAAACCACACAGTATGTATCATACAAAGAGTTGTACTGTACAGTTTCTCATGGAGACACAACAAAAGCATAGACCTAACAAACCTGTGGTACTTGATACACATACATGAACAAAACAGGATTGATACTATATTATGCTGGTTCTACACAACAAAATCAAATCTACATCATATTGCAATCTTGTGAAAAATGTTAAGCAGTCTTCTCCCCTTCACACTCTCATACAGGCACATTTTCATGTTGTATCACAGTTTGTTTGCTTATTGTCTGCGATGGGTGCAAACAGAACGAAATTGAAAGAATTCTCAACACAAAAATGTCAACGTAAACAATTTCTGTCACAAAATGAAACAATTTTGACAATGACACAGCACTTAACATAGGAAATCACTCATGAGAGTGTAATCATAGCGTGACAGTATTCCGCTGAACACGTGACAGGAACTTGTGTCATGATAGTCTATTTCGCTGAACACGTGACAGGAACTTGTGTCATGATAGTCTATTTCGCTGAACACGTGACAGGTACTGTGTGTCATGATAGTCTATTTCATTGAGCATATGCATGTTTTTCAACAAAATAAACAATAGCGTGATTTGGTCTGTTAGAAATGATAGGTCAGTCGGTAAAGGATTAATATTCCATACTGAATTCCAATCAAGTCTATGGTCCTACTGTGGGTCATGTCATTGCTACAGGCTCCACACAGCAACACTGACATTCTTAATGACATCACACTGATACTCAAACAATGGAAAACACAAGAAAATACAAATGTCAGCGCCAACATCATTCGACCAATCATTTCGTTTCTGTTACACCTAACCAATCAAAATGCTCTCTTTATGCTTCATCTTCTTCATCACTCTCTCCAGTCTTGCGCTTCTTGTACGGCACCATTCCACCGATGAGGCCGTTGGCGGTGTTGAACAGGTTGATGGGGCTGCTGCCATCAGTGATCAGTGTGGACTTGAGTCCCAGAGACTGCAGCAGCTTCACCTGCAACTCCGGCCCAGCGGAAGCCATCGTGCGCAGAGTGTCTGCCCCCACTGCACTGACCATTTCCTTGAACTTCTGGGTCTCAATGGAAGAGACCTCGCGGGATTTATCAAGTTCAAGATCATTCTGTTCCTTGACGTACCTCAGTTCAGCATCACGTGCCTGGGTGAGACGCTCCAGCTCGGACTCCTATAATCAAAATAAAATGTCAATAGAAGTAGAAGAAGAAGAAGAGTTAGTATGATTTTACATCACAGCAGGGGAGATCAGAAATGGGCTTCACACATTGTACCCATGTGGGGAACCGAACCTGGGTCTTTGGCATGACAAGCAAAAGCTTTAGGCTACCCCACCGCCCCTAGAAGAAGAAACAGCCTATATATTCGTTTTATAGCCCCGAAAGAATGTACAAATCTAAGAATCATTTCCTTCAATAATGTTACAAGCATAATGCAGGACTTCAGACTAATTCAAATATTCAAATAAGTGACAAGTGACCCAACCAGTAAACTGACTGACTAGATTACAGGAACAAACGGCATGGAGACCAATAATGAAATTCTCTCAGAAATGGAGAATTTCTTGAAACCCTTTGGCATAAGAAGCACTGCAACGACAGAAATAACTCCGCAAACTTACAGCTTCAATCTTCATGGCTTGTGCCTTCAGCTTAGCCTGCTCTACAGCAGCCTCTCCCTCGATCTTGGCTGCCTCAGCCCGGGACTGAGCCTCTGCCTTGGCCTGCCCGGTGCTCTCCACAGCAGCGCTGTTGGCCTGCAGCTCCAGCAACTCCTTGCGGGACCTCTCAGCCTCGGCCTCATCGCTGATCTTCTGACGCTCCAGGCGACCCTTGGCCTCTTGCTCCAGACGCTCAGCCTCATGTCTGTGAAGACAATGTAATATACGTATAAACGACTGTCCAATGTTGGAGAAGGATAAATAAAGTCAGCTGTAAACATTATTGTCACATAAAAGTTGAAACATGGAAAGTAACTTTATCCATTGGATGAATGTTTTGTTTGTTTGTTGTTTAACGCCGCACTCAGCAATATTCCAACTACATGACGGCTGTCTGAAAATAATCGAGTCTGGACCAGACAATCCAGTGATTGACACCATGAGCATCGATCCTCGCAATTGGGATACGATGACATGCATCAACCAAGTCAGCGAGCCTGACCACCCAATCCCGTTAGTCGCCTTTTACGACAAGCCCCAAACGAGTGAGAATCAGTAGCCTGTTGATCGGATAAGGAAGTGTTATGAATCATCGTTGCCACGGTTACCTGGCAGCAGCTTCCTGGGAGTTGGTGGTGATTTCAATGGCCAGCTGCACGGACTTCATGAGAGAATCCCGTGTGCGCTGGTCGACCGGCTCCACAGACTGGATGTCAATGCTGGTGATGTGAAGGTTGTTCTGGGGGAAGGTGAACTTCTCCCTCACCTTGCTCTTGTCGTCAATACCAAACACAGATGCACGGATGATCTTGGCAGAGTTCTGGAAAATATGGTGGTTGATGTTATTAATAAGTAACATATTATTAAAATAAATAAAAATATATATGGATTCATATTTCATTTCATAGATAACTCAAAGATGCATGTTTGAAAATGTCAAGTCGGCTCAACTCTGAGATGGCTGCCCGTCAGGCAAACCCGTGGTTGATAGTTTGCTCTTGTGACAAGCATGGAGTACTTGGAACTGTCCCTGCCATGAATACCCATGGAGTATGTGGAACAGTCCCTGCCATGAATACCCATGGAGTACTTGGAACTGTCCCTGCCAGGAGTACCCATGGAGTACTTGGAACTGTCCCTGCCATGAATACCCATGGAGTATGTGGAACTATCCCTGCCAGGAGTACCCATGGAGTGTCCCAAATTGATGCATGTCTTTAATATCTCCCATCACAATTAGAAAAGTACATTCTTTTGATCACATCAACGGAGTGAGTTAGATACATTTAACATTGCTTTTAACAATACAGTAAACTATGTTCATAACGAACACGCTTATAACAAACTTGCGTATATAACAAACTGTTTTTTTGTCCCGGCCATTTGTTGTGTATATGTTGTACATATTCTTGTAATGAACAACGGTTATAACGAACTACAATTAGTGGTCCCTTTGAGTTTGTTATAACCGTAGTTTACTGCATTTCAATCATATCACGTGTGAAAAAGTGTACAGTGTCAAAAATGATGCAGGACTTAAAATCTTTTACATCCACGAGGATGGGGATGTCGCTTACAAAGGGTTGTAATGAATGTGGATATATCTATATATATAACTACTAGGAAAGTATAACCTCTATATCACATATCTATATATATAACTACTAGGAAAGTAAAACCTCTATATCACATATCTATATATAACTACTAGGAAAGTATAACCTCTATATCACATATCTATATATAACTACTAGGAAAGTATAACCTCTATATCACATCTCTATATATAACTACTAGGAGAGTGTAACCTCTATATCACACATCTATATTGGGGTGGAGAATAACAACAGTTACTCACTTTGTGGAAATCATCGAACTGGACCTGGGCGACCGCCCCTCGGACCCGGGAAGCAATGGCCTTACAAGCATCTCCTGTGAAGTCTGGGACACTGAACAGTTTAGCCGCCTCCCCTTCCGACTTCTCAAGCACTTCAAAATGCCTACACAAGTACACAAGATATCAGAAACAGTCGATAAGAACTGACACAATTTTCAAGGTCTAATATAATTTTCAAAATAACAAAAGGCCATTACCGTATACTACTCAAAAGAAGCTAAGAATCAGTCGATTCTTTTATAGTACCATAGTTATTCTGTCAAAATTCAATTTTGAACAAAATAACTTTTTTTCAAGTTACCTCCCAGGGGATTCCTGGATAAATCACTGATGAATGCTTCACTGTATATAACTACAGTCTACAAAAGTGCTGAATTCAGATGCCATAATGAATAAATACTTGAAATCAGTATCATGAAAATAGGAACCTTGTTCACACCAACTATCACTAAACAGGTGCTATCCTCCACATGCATTAGTATGAGATGTTCAAACTTACCAGTTGTATGATAGCTGCAGTGACAGACGGGCGTGGTCGGCGGTTTCCACGACGATGATATCAGTGCAGAAGTCAGGCCCGAGAAGCAAGCACAAACTCTTGATGACATTGGGTTTCTTGGGCTTGCCGCCAGACAGACTGAGCTGTGTGAATTGTTCGTCAGGGCCCAACATCACCAGCTCAGGTCCAAACACAACCCTGAAACACAACGGGACTAAATCTTAAACAGTTCAAGATGTCAACAAAACTTTCATTTAAATTCAATTCAACACATTTTATCAAAATTTACATGCAAGCCTTGATAACACGATCAAGAAGTTCTTACATGATTATCAACATTATATATCGGTAGTCTAATCAAAAGACTGTTTGGTAGGATGAAAATAATAAATACTGTTTCAGATAAAGGACACTTTAGACAAGTGAGCTGAGACCAAAATTAATCAATTTGCAATATTTATGACTTTTGTCAATTGGTTAAGCTATCATGTTGTCACCTGGATCAGAGAACGGCCACAGTAATTTTATGAAAAAAGATCTCAGGATATTGAGTCTCTGATCCTTGTGTTTCTCATCTGACCGAGTCTCTGATTCAGAAAATCCAACAGCTTTGCCTGACAATGAGGATGTTGATGGTGACCCACCTGGCCTTCTTGTCCTTGTAGTCATAGATCTGGACTGCTGCATTGTGGGGGACTCTGAAGGTGACGACACGTGTCTTGTCACGTGGCTTAGCCGCGACGTCACGTCCCCGGTCACTACGGTCAGCGAGAGGGTCCTTACCAATCGCGAGGAGATTCTCTACAATAGGGGCAAGTGTCTTCTCCCAGAGTTCCTCATCCTGGTTCAACATGTAGGTCTCCCCAGTGATGGCACGCACCTGAGATCAAATATAACAGAGGGGGGGTCAAGTTTGGTTCAGGATATAACTTTTTTTTTTCTTTTTCTGTAAGTTAACACCACACTCAGCAATATCCCAGCTATATGATGGTAGTGTGTAGATGATCAAATCTGGACAAGCTATCCAGTGCATGACAACATGAGCATTGATCTACGCAATTAGGACATGATGAGATGCATCTACCGAGTCACCACCCGATCCTGCTAGTCGCCTCTTATGACAAGCATGGGTTGCTGAAGACCAATTCTAACCCAGATCTTCATGATATATCTAGTATCAAACATGAAGAAATTTTTCAACATTCCACTGTATCCTGTTCTTGTCTTGCTTGGACAAAAAGAGCTCAATTATTGTCACCTATGAGTGAGTTATAGTACTAGATGCATAACGCCGCTTTGATAGAATTTGTTACATTCCAAAATGACAGTAATTTGGGACAGTAACTTGACCACTTGCAACAAATTAGCATATATATCGTGCTGAAAAACCAAAAAAGCATAATATGTCATTGCGTTCCTTGACCAGCTGATCCTGATATGGCTAAGGGAGGTAATCCAGCCTCTTAAGAAGCCTCAGGTCATTGGGCCGGTACTGAGTGTAATGACACATCAATCAAGATTAGACATGGTTACCATTGGTCCTCATTTACCTGAGGGATACATTCTGCCATGAAATCCAGCATTTCTTTTAATGTTGGATTGAAACTTGAATACATTCATTTCTATATACCTTGCCATTCTTGATGTCTCGGACATATATCCCCTCATTCTCGTCCAGTGGGATCGCCTGACGTTTCATCACCACCTCCACCTCCACGGGGGGAACATACTCGGTGGGTCCTCGGATCATCCATCGATCTCCAGGGTTACGCTCGTCTCCCTACACAAAACAATAACATTAATCTGTTTTCCCATCTTGGACCATGTGCACCTGACGAAAATATTGTAATGAATATTATTAGCAAGAGCATACAAAAGGTTGCTGAATCCACATTAGAAAGTTATACTTGTCTGCTTGCTGCTAAAGGGAAACAACTCTCGACCTTGTTGAAATTTGGATGGCTTTTTCTTCACGGATTCAAAATTTATCATGGACTATCATCTTGACGGGTTTGACTGGTGTTCAGTGCTAATTTGCATCTGGTGATAACATGGGCTAAATGAATTGCCGAGATGACAGAGTTGGAGTACTTTTGCCCTTGAAATAGTGCCAAGGACAACTTAATAAAATGTCAGTCCTGAATAACTAGTAACATTTATGGGCGATAAATCTGAACCAGTGACAAGTGAAGCATGTTTGCACTAGTCCTGCGACTAGCGATAGTCTTTAAAAGTCAAATGTCTCATACTGCTGTACATTAAATACTACAGTGAGACTTCAGAATGTTTTTCCCAGATCAAGGGGCGGTCGGGTAGCCTAGTGGTTAAAGCGTTCGCTCGTCACGCCGAAGACCCGGGTTCGATTCCCGACATGGGTACAATGTGTGAAGCCCATTTCTGGTGTCCCCCGCCGTGATATTGCTGGAATATTGCTAAAAGCGGCGTAAAACCATATTCACTCACTCACTCACTCCCAGATCAAGCCGATAAAATCAAATAAAGTATGAAGACAATTTGGAAATTAAAATGCATCCTCACAGGAAAATAGGTTACCATGGTAATCTGTTACCATTATTTTCAATATGTTACCAATGTGATGCAGGAAATAAAACTTTGTGTTGCGAGTTCCATGCAGGAAACATGGTTCTCCTATGTTATCAGTTGTGTAGATAATAGTTTTACTCACTCCATCCTTGTCCTTGAAGCATTCATTAGCCCTGAGGATGAGACCCTCGTCTTCTCCCAGGATGTACACATTCTGAATTCCCTTCTCAAGCCGCTCACCGGGCAACAAGAAGAAGGACTTCTCTCCCTGAAGGAAAACAAACAAATTTTGAACAAGCTGATTATATAAATTACAGTCCAATTGTCAGTTGTATAATGAAGAAAATTAAAAACGTGCATTAAAGTTTGAAATGAATTTTTTTTTTAAATTATCATAATGCCTTTACCAGACTGATGAGGCACAGCTTGGTTGTGTGTGATGATAAGGAACGTGTTACCTTGATTACGTGTGATGGTTGGTGTGAGCGATGTTATGGTGTTGTGTGATGGTTGGTGTGCATGATGTTATGGTGATGTGTGATGATGGGTGTGAGTGATGTTACGGTCATGTGTGATGGTGGTGTGAGTGATGTTACGGTGATGTGTGATGGTGGTGTGAGTGATGTTACGGTGATGTGTGATGGTTGTGTGAGTGATGTTACGGTGATGTGTGATGGTGGTGTGAGTGATGTTACGGTGATGTGTGATGGTGGTGTGAGTGATGTTACGGTCATGTGTGATGGTGGTGTGAGTGATGTTACGGTGATGTGTGATGGTGGTGTGAGTGATGTTACGGTGATGTGTGATGGTTGTGTGAGTGATGTTACAGTGATGTGTGATGGTGGTGTGAGTGATGTTACGGTGATGTGTGATGGTGGTGTGAGTGATGTTACGGTCATGTGTGATGGTGGTGTGAGTGATGTTACGGTCATGTGTGATGGTGGTGTGAGCGATGTTGTGATGATGTGTGATGGTAGGTGTGAGTGATGTTACGGTGACGTGTGATGGTGGTGTGAGTGATGTTACGGTGACGTGTGATGGTGCTGTGAGTGATGTTACGGTGATGTGTGATTGTGGTGTGAGTGATGTGATGATGTGTGATGGTACGGAGTGAGTTACGTTTCGGAACGTGTATTACCTTGATAAGCTTCTTCCTCCCCAGCTGTGGTCTGCCACTCTCGTCGGCGGGGTCGAGAATCACACAGTACTGACGGTTAGTTAGAGTGGTGATGTTCACTACTCCCACAACCTGAAACACAAACATATTGATAATAGCATGTACACATTGTTAATTAATTTAGTACATAAAACAGTGATAAACAATAGGATAAACAGTTTCATGAATCAATTTTATTTGCAATAAAACATCTCAGAACGTTTTACTGATCTCTGAGCTGATGTCTCCACAGAGGCGGTCCTACAGATACAGGCATAGGATAGACTGTGAGTGAGTGAGTGCCACTTTTAACTGTATTCCAGTTATATCACGGCGTGTCAGTTTAATGTGGGAGGAAAGCCCGAAGTGATGCAGGTCTTAGATGTTTGTTTACCAGTTCGGTTAAACCCATGAGCACGGGTATGGTGCTGACAAACCTAGAAACATAATCGGGGCGAACCAGGATTCAAACCCAAGATCATAGGTTTCTGGCGTGCTCAAGGGACGCAACTCTGCACAGCGAATCGTGGCGCCTTAGACGACTGGGCCATCCGTGTCCCCCAGACCCATAAGAACATACTACAAATAATTGTAGCTCTAAATACCAACCAACCAATATATTTTGAATCCTTTGAAATTTTCTGTACAGAATGAACCAGTTTTTTTAAAACCTATTTATCACTTTTTTTATTGGAATGTAAATGTTTAGTGAGAAAAATTGAGTGTACTGTGTGTTTGGGTACGCTTGTACTCACCTCCTCGTACACCCCCGGGATGTGGGTCTCGGTGTCCGTCATTGTGATCAACCATTCCTCTCCATTCTTTCTCACAATGCTGAAGTCATCCTTGAAAGTCTTCAGTGAACGCATGTGAAGTGCTTTCTGCAAAAGAAGTAAATATGATATATAGTGAAAATGTTTCCCACTTGAAGTCTAGACATTGTTAAGTGAGTGAATGAGTGAGTGAGCGAGTATGGTATTTATTCCAGCAATATCACGGCGGGGGACACCAGAAATGGGCTTCACACAATTTACCCATGTCGGGAATCGAACCCAGGTCTTCGGCATGACGAGCGAACACTTTAACCACTAGGCTAAGCGACCACCCAGACATTGTTGAGTAATCACCGAAATGTTCAATAATACAGCAATCATTCACTTAGACATGCAAATTTTAATCATTTTAACATTATGGCAAAATCAGTATCTTTCACCAAAAAGGAAAAATCCTTTAGTTCAACCCATTGAACACACAAATTATACACAGTAGGCCTCATCAACTCAGATTTCTTTCATATGACAAAGCATTTCTGATGATGTAAGTTCAATCTTGTCTGAAATAGCCAAACACTGACACTCCTCTCTACCGATAACTCTCTACAAATAACTCAACTTGTATTTGTTATTGTCCCCAGGACTTTTCATTGAAGAAAATTCACTCAATAACTGCAAACTGAGCATATTTCAGCCTCATGTTTGGTGTAAATAATCAAGTCTGGTCACGACAATCCATGGATATTGTGAACAACGATACACGCCATCGGACTTTGATGACACGCGACTAAGTCACCGAGTCTGACCACCCGATCCATATGACTGCCTCTTTCGACCAGAACAGGTAGCTGGCACCATATTGTAACCCGTAATCCCCACAGGGAAATACATTAGGATAAAGTGTTATTTGGATTCATATATACTACTCAAAAGAAGTTCAAGAACACTCACAGTGCTGTGTGTTCCAACACCCACCAGCCATGACAGACTATTGTCACATGAAAGAAAAATGGGTGTTCTTCAACTTCTTTTAAGTAGCACATATCAACAAAACAATGCAGAATACTGACCTTTTCGGTGAGAACATAAGCATTGACAATATCGACAACTTCCTCGTATGCTCCAGGCAGGTAAGCTCCAGTCTTCTTGACCAGCCATTCCTCCCCTGTGACCCGGGCACTGCCGTCACGGTCCAGGCACTCTTTGCGAGCCCGCAGCCGGATAGCTTGATTTGGCTTGATGACGGTGGCCCTGATCGTCTCCTCTACTACTACCTCCTTACGTGGGATGTATGTGCCTGCAAAGTTACATAGGGGAAATGAGATTTACAATTTAGTTTCCACAAACTATATTTGATAAATAGTAACTTTGACTATCAACCTTGATGAAAAATTTAAATAATATACTACTCAAAAGAAGGTAAGGATCACCTGATTCTTTCATATTACTATAGTTAATCTCTCATGTCATGACAGATTAACTTTACCATTATGAAAGAATCGGGTGATCCTTAATTTCTTTTGAGTAGCATATGTGACTAGATGAAAACATCTCGTGAAAGATTTGTGTAAGAAGGAAACTTGAGTTTCATATATTTGATATATATCACGTATATCACTCATCTCTGATCAAGATCTAATACATTAACTCCTTCAATGATTTTCCCGAGCTTAACATAATGTCACATCAAATAATATCAATAAATATTAAATAATTAAATTGTTCCTTATCATGCAACAAACAAAATTGATTACATGTTATTAATTTTGACCAAATTCAATAGAACAAAGAAGTATTTCCATGCAAAAGCAATCAACTTGTTCAAGGCTATTTTTCCTGAAGAAATTCAAGGTTATTTTCCCTGAAGAGGTTTACAATAATCTAATTACTGAATAAAACTCCATAACATATGGCAGAATTAACAATGTTACCATTGTTATACAATGTAACAAATAAAAATCATATTAAAAACAGATTAACCAAAATGTGTAATAGTTTATGGATTGTCCCCAACATCATTTTTATCAATATGTTGTACATTATTAAATATATTTTGTTCTTTATTAGGGCTAATTGAGATATACCAGTAATATACAACACTTTGTGTTGTTAAATATGTATCATATACCTAATAGGCTGTTTACACTGTTGAGAGATGCAATAATTTAGGTTACTGTACAAAAATAAACCTTAGTCAGTTCTGTACTGATTTCCAAGAGTTTCATCATGCTTTGGATGATCAACCGCCAACAGGACATTTTGGCTAGCTGCCTTATTACCTCCCCTTTCACCAATCAGAGCAGCATTCATCAAAAGCTATTTTAAGAAACTGATTCAATGTCTACTTTAGACACAACTCTGCTGCCATACACATGGCCATATTAGTACATATGCTATTAGTCTGTTCAAAGTATATTACTCTTTCTTCTATTCTAAATATGGTAAATAAAAACAGTGTAAGTGATTGATGTAATGCAATTTATTTTTTCAAAGTTGTAATATTTTCTTAAACTTTACCTAAATCAACCCTGAATTTCTCAAGCAATTTTATTCAGCTGCCTGGATCTTGTCATGTTGACTACAGAAATCCAAGAACAAGTTTTGGCCAAGGCCTGAACCCATGGATTGCAAGTCTATGTTAAAGTATGGAATCTTCATAAATAAGACCACCATACTGAGCAATCACACATACATGGAATTCATAATTGCTTCATCAGCATTCCAAACTTGGTATCAGTATTAACCCTGTCTCCAAACAAAACAGGTATTCCAGGCAAATTATGTCCCTAGCTCTTTGTAAGGGCTCAAGTTAGCAATTTCGTAACGACATAGGATTCCAATAAGAAAATAGTTTCCCAGCAAACCTATGCTGGTCGTACAAGGTGACCAACTGGATCAGGTAGTCAGACTCAGTGACTTGATTGATTACAACCTCTTGTATCCCAATTGTGTAGATCGATGCTCATGATGTTAATCACTGGATTGTTTGGTCCAGACTCGATTATCTACAGACTACCTCCATATACACAGCTGCCTTAAATAACAAACAAATTTGATTTCATGTCCCAAAAGTATCATTGTTTTTAATATCACTTCTTTAAGACTCGATCAGAGGTCAGTTGTTTGTTTGTTGTTTAACACTGCACTCGGCAATATTCAAGCTATATGCTGCGGTCTGAAAATAATTGAGTCTGGACCAGACAATCCAGTGATTGACAACATGATCAGTAATCCTCCCAATTGGGAAGAGGTCAGTTGTCTTTCCCCATTATCTGAGAAGGTTCGAAGAGCATCAGGTAATCTGACTTCCTGAAGAAAGCAGCCCACAACGACTGTACATACCTGGTCCCTCAAATAACCACTCGTCCCCTGCAGTCCTCTTCTCCCCAGTCTCATCCTCAAAGTCCAGGATTGACCGGAGACGAAGCGCTGAGTTGGCAGGTACTACTTTCAGCGGAGTGACAGGCTGCAATACAAATGTTATTATCATATAAATAGTACATTCCATGAAACATATGTAAACGACACAACTCTTGGTAGGGATATTCAGATCTCTTTCTATTTAGATAAACAATTGACATATGAGAATCATCTTTGAATATGACGAAAGGATACAAACATTCCTATCAAAAGTCGAGAAGTATACTTCATAATCTAACAAAAAAATAAATGGTTCAATTACTTAGCTTTCTTCAAGAGTAAAACAATTCTTTTCTTTTTCATAATATAACATATAATTATCCTCCGTTTAGACCAGTCTGAAGTTGGAATATCAACTTTTGACAGAACATTCTTCCATATTATAAAAAATTAGGGGGAGACAATAAGTCTTGAAAGTGAACGCAACCCTGGTCTCTGACTCTGGGTGTTCTGGTGTTTGAGATGTGTATTTATTCCCACCTGTTTGAGCACCTCCCCAGGGTACAGAGGAAAGGGGTCTTGAGCCAAGCGGATCTCCTGATCAGCGTGGAACAGCTTGGCCTGACCACTCTCATTGCACACGATGTGGTCGTCCTTGTTGCGGACGACGGGGTTCTCAACGACGCAGTAGTGGCGAGGGGGCACCACCAACATCTTCTCGGGGCCGAGGACAACCCTGGAATGTGCATTTAGAGTAAAGTGTGGCCAAATACTTATTTTAACTCTTATATTTTCACTTTGCAAAATATGAAGGTGTTAACTTCTCACATAAGTCACCTCCTCTTTGATTTTCCAGGCATTTTCTATCTTGAAATAGGAACCATCACCAACTGAAGATGTACCAACTTTATTATTTTTTATAATTCAGCTTTCCTTTGATTTCACAAAAAATAAAATAAGTTACTAAACAGTTTTCTATTATATGCTCTTTTGCCAATATCTGTTTCTTAGTTACCATGGAACTCTAAAGAAGTTGAAGAACACCCGATTCTTTCATGTTTCTGTAGTTCTGTTATTCTTTGGTGTCATACATTTTGAGACAGCTTTTTTTTAAAGCGTTCTTTTTCAGAAAATATACCATAAATCAACACTGAAAATATTTTTATTCTTTTATATTTTTCCCAGTATCTCAGAAAATTCATTTCCTGCTTCAACTTTCTCAACCCCTGTCTCCTGTCGATGTCTTCCATCGTACATGTAATATGCTTGAAGCCAAAGTCTAATCTCTTTTCTGTTTATATACTCCAAAACTAGTACCTAATCTCACCTCTCATTGTCCTGTCTGATGTACGTCTTTGGCCCAATCTCCAGCCGTGTGACGTTGGTGTTCTGGTCCAAGCAGTGGATATAGTAGTAGGGAGGGATCCTGTACAAGGACTCCTCCACAGATCTTCGTGGTGCAGACATCGTGTGTGTCTCTAGCGTAACCTCAGCTGAACATACAACACATACAGCTTAAACATACTGCAAGCATAGATCAGATCAAAGATCAAAGATCAAAGAGAATGTGGACAATTGGATTGAACTCACTGTCTAGCCTCGTTCTTGAACACATATGATATTAATTTCTTAAAATATATGAAAGAGATCTAATTGAGAAAATGAAGCTGTTAATTGATCAAATGAAATTAACATGACATATTAAGCACATGAACCTGCCATTTTGAGTGAGTTGATATATTAAAAATACTTATGTATTGCACACTTAACGATTTTGTTATGCAACATAATTCCATTGACATCATGTTAATATCTCAACTACCACTGGAAACTTTATAATAAGTATGTGATAAAGTCAATAAAATCATGAATCCAAATATATTCCACAGAAACCTGGGATAATGTTTTTCGAAATTCATTTCGACAAATTACATGAGGTGAGGTGAAATGGGGTTTAACGTCGCGTCCAAGATTATTGCACTTATATAGCGACGTGGAAGTACGTGTGTGTGTTTGTGTGGCTGCTTGTACTAGTCCGGACTGATGCCGATTTATAGTGCTAGCTCACTGAGATACCATGCCGCAGTTTAACATGAATACCCCACTCAGACACAGTATACTGACTCCGAGCCGACCAGTCCTTGTTTTAGCCCCTTAATGCCGAGCGCCAGACAGGGTAACAGCAAGTACCATCTTTTAACATCTTTTGGTATGACGCGGTCGGGGATCGAACCCCGGACCTTCCGCTCTCCGGGCGGACGCTCTACCACTAGACCACGGAGGCGGTACAAATTACATGAAGACAAGCTTATACTGTTAGTTACCGTGTTCTGGTGCGCTTAGCATATATCTAATTAGCATAACCAAACGCTGTAGGTTACAGGATCACAACTATGTCCAAGGTTAATACATCCCTGTACATCCTCGACGTGATATATCAGGAATAGTGTCCATTTGTAGTGCCGTTGAACAAAATTCACTCACTCACTGTTGGAATCAAGTGTTACAATACCAGATGGTTACATTGTAAAATTACGAAAACACACTTACCTAATATAATAACTTGTCCCTGCCGTTAACTGCAACAAGAAAAAGAAACGATGTGAACAGATGAACTTTCACATGCTTTAGCTCACGCGCAGTTAAGAAGATTCTCCCACGACTAACTCACTTCTGGCTGCGCTGGAACGAGAAGTCCGGGTTTATATGACGTCTATTTAGCTGCGCTAGCGATATGAATCAAGAAATGACGCAGGTGACAAGACATGGGACCCGTATCCACTGGACCGCAGAGAGAGGATATCACATTGTATGTACCTGACAACGCCCAATATCAGCCGCGTCAGCGATTTCAGCAACCACTTAGTACAGTATTTCACAATGTTTACTTCATGTTTCTACGAGTCGGCGCATGCGTAGTATATTCCACGCAACTAATATCAATGCGGATAACCTCAAGGCCGTCTGTTGCAATCTCCAAAGCTTCATTGTAATCATGTAGTTGTTTGTATTTACGGTACGTCAGTATTGAACGTCCTGTTACACACGACACCTTTCGGAAATAAACGCGGGGGAATACCATATACTATTACGCGCAAACATGGCACATATTACAGTTCACCTCTAATGTTAAAAGGTATTTCCTGGTATAAGTTGTCCTTGAGGCGCTGTTTCATAACACTAATCCTCGTACACAAGTTATAACATGTAAACGAATTCAAAGCATTACAAGCTCGTGGGCTATTGCATGCAACCCGTTTCTACTAATGAACAAAATACTGGAAATAGGTACATGCAAACAAAATACCATTCTGAGGTAAACTTATCCCAAGGAAAGAAAATCACATATCATGAAAAAATGAAATAAGCATTTCCTTGAGGGTTTGTTGTAATATGTGTTCCCATTGTTTCGGGAAATAAGGAAGTAGAAACACATTTTTGCGAGAAAAGGCAAACTACCATCTCCTACAGTCTATTCTACAGTGCAAAGTTATGTCTAAATAATAAATACACATTAAATTGTGATACAGTGATCTTCGTGCAACCCATGACGCAGTGCACGTGATATGAAAGATGCATTCAAAATTGATGATGTTATGCATGGATAATTGCATATGGTCCAAACTGACAGTCTAAATCGATCGAGAGGCCAAGCAATGCCTAGCAACAACCTACATTTACTTCTACTGACTAGAGGCGATCAAGGGTCGATCTATTCGTCACACCCCGCTTAACAAACTCTCTAAACACGGAAGTTTATTTGCGTTTTCACATGCTTTAGTGACAGACATCTTTTTCAAGCAACTGGTCATTTGGAGGTTTCGATCTGGCTAATGTTGGTTCACACTTGAAATGTCTGATGAACTGTTCTCACGATACAAGCATGTTCAAAGTGGGCGTGTCCACTAGGAGCGTTTAATCGACGGTAACTTGCCTTCTTTATAATAATCAGCAATCAAGTGGATTCACACAAGATTAATTACGGTTTCATATTGTATCAAATGTGGCCTTTGAATGTAGTACTGTGCGTATCGTGTACCCGAATAAACATGTTTTGGTCATAACAAACGGGTAGAACAAAGGAGGAAGACGGGTTGACCCGCTTGATAGAATTAAGTATCCTGGTCGGTTTCGATGATATTACATGTTTATCCAGAACTGTCATCACCTCTTATCAAGTGGCACGTGACTTGGGGTACTTACAGAACCGATATCACGCAGTGAAACGAAAGTACGAATGCTATTAATATCGAAAATTCAGCAAAATTGGACCTACTGTCCGACACCTACCTTGTGTATTGTGATGTGTGGTGCAAGACCGGCGAGGTTGATCAACCAATCAAATCACAGGAGCCCGAGTATTATCTAAAATTAGCTGTGACATCACTTCCGCTTATACATTCCATGCGTGGTTAACCTCGAGATCGAAGTAAATACGGCTTGTTGGGACTTGTTTTAGTGATCGAATATTAGTTAAACTGATTAATATGAACATTCTATATAAAACCTACTGCATTGTAAAACACATATAGTAAATATGGCGCTTTATTAGAATCTGTATATGATTTGGGGTTACCGAGTTGGTTTATTCTGGTCGTTCTGACATTGTCGATAAAGAAGGTAAAGTGTTTGACTTACCGTTGTTTTACGCCGCAGGCAACGGCGTCCGAGTCCGGCTAGAGGTTGATAGCATTAACAACGATCCACACCACTGGTGTGTGACGACACGATGGCAGCCAGGTTACATATTGTGGCAATTAAATCGTCTTTGAGGTCAGTTCTTTATATTTCAAATATAAGCACCCGGAATACCACGGGTTGAACTATTTGGAACCAGCAGAGGCCATATAATAGATGGTATTATATGGTCTCTGGAACCATGCAGCAATAGGTTTTAACATGCTGTTTTAATTTCGTCATGAAAGCATATCGTGTGATTAAGTAAGACAGGCCTACGAATTGCCGAAATTTGAAAATGTTAATATTATACTATACTATGAAATTACATAATCAATGAAAATCATAATGCAAGCGAAAGGCAAACAGCTGCTTTTAAAACGATAATTGTTCATGTCGTATAAGAGCTACTCCTGCAATGTTGCGAAATACCTTGTCCAAGGTTGAAGCTACTGCAGCTAAGTAAATCAGGTGATCAGCGAAGTAGGTGAGTGAGTGAGTGAGTAGGTGTGAACATTGGTGGGGGCGGGGGGGAAAGGGATTCGTCATAACTCTTTGTGTTTTTAAGTTTTTGAGATAGCTTTTCAACAGGTTTTAATCAAATACTTCATTTATATTGAGAAGCGACAGTAAATAAATTATTTTTACTTATTCCTGGTCGGCTGAATAAGAAAATCATTATTTTTTTCACATTTCATTTTTTTAGTCGGCTGATTCGTGAACGTTTTTTTAAAAACTGTCTGTCCTATTGTGATTTAAAAAATATTTATTTTCAAGAAAAAGGAATGGGATCGGTGAACATACAAAGCCTATGTAAACACCTCTCCCTACAAAAGACATTTAACAACTGATAAGAGTTACTGCACATACAAAATAAGTTTAGATTAACTGTACCTACTGTTGCAAATTTCAAGTACACATAAATACACACATACATTTATCGGTACATAACCAAACCGGTGCATCCATGCACATATACTTAACAAATGAACAGATTTTACAATAGCAAGGTTAGTATCAGTAGATGTTGCAGCATTTCTATATAATACTGAATCAAGTCATATCCTTTTATGTAGTAGTACATATTGTTATTGCAGTAGTTACAACATGAAAAGAAGTAATATGTAGGATCTTCATAATGGTTTCCACAGGAGCAGGTGGTAGACTCATAATTTTGTGTGTGATATTTGTGCGCGTTTAAATGCGGCGGGGATGTATAATTTGACAAAAACGGGTACCATAATCTAATTTAAAGCTATTTTTTTTAAAAACATTTCTGTTATGGTGATACTTTTAGTGAAACCACATGCAAGACTGTCAATGAGGCTACAGGCAACGTTCAAATGGCGACAAACCTGATTTCGACAACCTTGTTTCCTGTACATCATTATACCACTTCTCAAACTATACTCAACACATTGTTCCTTGGTTTCATCACATAGACTAACAGTAGTTAACGTCTAAGAGCCGCATCACTTGGGGACTTCCTCCCACTAGAAACTTACACGCCGTAATTTAACTAAAGTTCGATTCAAATTGGAGCTAACTAAAAAATACCATCAACTAGCATCGCTCTGAGTATAATTATTTTGGTTGTTAGTGTGCTTCTTGTTTAACGCCACACTCGGCAATATTCCAGACGTTCCAGTGACTGACATCATGAGCATTGGTCTACGCAATTGAAATACGATTATATGCATGATTGATTATATATACGCCATACCCGTGCTTAAGGTTTCACAACAGCCGTAAACTTCAAAGACCTGCACCTCTTCGGATTTTCCTCCCACATTGCCATACCTTCTTACAGGATTGGGGGGGGGGGGGGGGGGGGGGGGGGGGGTTCTGGGGGAGGCAGCCCCACTGTTGTAAATGTAAAAAGATAATCTACCATGATAACATGTTGGTTTGGTTGTTTAAAGTAAAATTAATAATGGTTGACATGTCGTGTCTGTGACTTTTTGGTTGGAAACCCAATAATAATAATAATAATTTCTTTATCACCCATTATTTCTTAATCCTGTTCAGCTTTGCTTTAGAAAAATGCACCGATCACGACCGCCGTCTTTGAAAACCACAATTGTCGAATGACGTCAACAATCTTCAGCTATGACGTCGTTGCTAGTGTGACGTCATTCCGACCTTACGTCACAAGGAAATTCGAGTACTTCAACAATGCCGTCCTGATGACGTAAACAATACACCGGTGTGCGTGAAGTGATATTTGCACTAGTGCTGTGGGTAATAAACTAGTATATTACTCACATTCGCACGTTTGAATTTGAAGTCAATTGAAGCCATATGGCGTCACAGTACTTCAATTGTTGAGAAAAATGCGATATGGCGTTGTGTTCGTTGATTCATTGACACCTTGTCAATCATCAGGTGGAGATATTCATGTAGGCCACCATTATTGACACTGGTCCGTGTGGTGTTGGTCCGTGTGGTATGCCGAAATACCGAACACATATTTGTACAGTGTTATGGAGACGACCGACCCTGCGTGTTAGTGAAACTACAATATACAAACTCACAGATAGCATTTACAGATGACATGTCGCGTCATTTCCATTCCCCATTAGAGGAACTTTCTGTGACCCCGATACACAGTTATCATAATTTGTGAATCATATACTGGTAGGCCATGTATCACCAACACCGAACTTTACTTAACCCCCTGGATGCCAGAGGGACATATATGTCCCTCCTCTACACCCCTCACTTTGAAGTCAAATAAAATTCAAAATACATCACCCACACAACTACACTTTACAGTTTTAAATAAGGTGGTATATTCCCTGTTCTGTGATATCATCCACTGGCATTTTAGGCCAAGCAAAAGTACTGAACATAACCTCTGAAAATTAGGTACATCGTAAATGTCGCCATTTTTTACACATTACTAAATCACCACTCACGGCGTTATTTACAGCATGTTTTGAAATCTAAATTTCGGGTATTTATTCGGAGAAATGAATTTCAAAAATAGCATATTAGTGATCACGGGTATCTGTCTTTTATGAAATCACCAATGATCATTCCAAAACGTCTCCGATAACCCTAGAATCGTTTAGAATGTTTTGGAAAAAACGAAAACACGAACGCCGAAGTGAACTTTCC